CCGTTATTTTACCCCACCACTTTTCACCATTACATATTACACAACTAGTCGTTTTTCTATTTTTGTTTGGTGCTATTACCGGCTTGTCGAATAAAGAAGGGGGAAGCTTAAACCGTGTTTGTGCCTTTTCGCGTAGTATCTATAGCTCCGGCACGAAACCCAGGTGCCTCCGTACCCTGTGACATCTGCTCATCGTCGCAGAGAAAGATGCAGCTTGACCATGGCGATCGACGACCCCCTCAACGACTTCCTGTCAACCCTCGGCGCCACAAGGTAGCCCCAGAGCATCGCAAACGAGTTGCGACAGCGTAAGTGGCCCCTCTCTTCTTGTAACTTGGATTTCTAGGGTGCTGGTGCGCAGAAGCAATTTCTACGTGTCCCTCCTCGTTCCTGAATGCGTGGCGTGAACTGGTGGGGGATTGAGACAGGTCAACTCAGGTCAACTCAGGTCAACTCAGACCAACTCGGATCAACCCAAGCTGGTGCCACCGTTGAGATGCCAGAATGCCTCGGCGACGTACTCAAGAGCTACCTATAACCTAGTCACACACGAAACAGTTGGCTAACCATTGCCCCTCCCTTGGGCGCTCTGAACAGATGCAACAGCTGCAATGTACGCCGGATCAAGTGCTCTGGTGAACGCCCCTGCAGCCAATGCGCCTCGACCGCCCGCGATTGCGTCTACCCTGCCGTCGTTGAGAAGGTTTCTGTCCCCCGAGCCGAGTTGGAAGACCTGAGGAAGAAGGTCGAAGTCTACGAGAAGGCTTTACAAGATGCAGTGGCCGATCCAACACGACGCCAGGAGCTTCTGCATCACGCCGCCAGCCCTGATTCCTCGTCATCAACCAGCCCCTTTGCAGGTACCATTCAGTCTGGCACCGGACCGGCAAACACAGCCCACAACCAGCCATCTGGAACCAACTCGGTCAAGACCGAGCCGACAGACGACGACGCAGTGCTAAGTCCTGGACGTTTACTCCAAGATGCCGACGGCATGGGCAGATATATGGGCGAGACTGCTGGTGCCACCTTTCTCGACCACCTCAAGGAATTGATGGGCGCGGCTCTTCCTACCTCTCCACAAGACAGACCGACCCGAGTTGACCAGAACAGCTTCTTGTCAAGCCTGGGCAACTACACTGTCGATGACCAGCGTCCACTCAACCACGCCGTGAACCCCCTATGGCTGCCACCTGATAGCACCATCGGCGTCGTCTTATCCGAACTGCGGCACTTCATCCAGGATGGTGGTGGCCAGTGGCCAAGTGGTGGCATCTACTGGTGGGGAGACTTGAGCACAATCCCCGTTCGAGCTCCAGCTTCCCCCTCGCCAGACACCGACTTGAGCGCATATCGCCATCTGGCTTTCTATCACGCTGCTCTCGCCATGGCATGCCAAAGCACCACGACCCAACCGCCGCCAAGCTCAGATTCCCACCCATCTCTGAGCGAGCCATATTACGCACGAGCTGCTATGCTTCTGGGTAATCCGCTTGAGATCAAGCGTCGCACTATTGGTGATGTCGCTTCTCTTGCCATGATGAGTTTCTACCTTGTAGAGACAAATCGACCAGATGCGGCTTACATGTATGTCACTGCTGCTATGCACATTAGCATCATGCTCGGTGCCCACCGAGGATGGGTTGACGAGCGAGGAAAGAGGGTCTTCTGGTCAGTGTATTGCCTTGACCGTTGGTTGAGCTGTCTCACTGGACGGCCTCCCACAATCACAGACGAGGCCATCCAATTGCCACTGCCGGCAGACGACGCGTACGTTAAAGGTACATATTTCATGAGAGACATGCTAACTGACAGTATCTTCAGACTGATGCCTCCTGCCGCGGGGCTGAGGGCTCACGTTGAGCTTTCTCGCATCTCGGGGCATGTTGTTGGCAATACCTACCGTGGAGCGAAGATTGAGGCGGGGACTCGCCAGCCCGATAACGCCATATGGATGCTTGAACAATGGCAATCGGCCCTGCCACCAGCCTTGCAACTTATTGAAGGATTGAGCAACGATCCCGCAAGCTGCTTGCTGCATATGAGATACAACCAACTTCTTGTCGTGGCTATTCGGCCACTCTTCTTATCCGCCGTCAAGCGAGCGGTCGCTGATCGTCTGATGGGCCAAACGACCACCATGGATAACGTTCCTCAGATTGAGCATCTTAAGTGCTGTATTTCCGCTGCAGTTCGTAATATGGCACTTGCCCGACACTTGTCAACGTTGAATGGACACCGCAAGACTCTACATGCCGGCTTGCACTTTATCTTCCATGCTGCTGTGTGTCTCATTCTTCGATCCCTTGCTTTCAGGGAGGAATCCTCACAAGATGAGGCTATTGCCGCCATGAACGATGTAGATTACGGCATTGAAAAAATGCTCGAGGCTGCCAGCAAGGGCAACACGGATGGCCAGCGATGTGCAGAAACGCTTCAAGAGCTTCGTTGCTTGGTTGGAAGACTTACGGCCTCGCTGGGTCAGGATCCCATGCTCAGCACGATTTCTTCCTCTGCTCCTACAATAGCACCTCACCTTGTTTCTCAGGAGCTTCCGCCACCTCCCATGCCCATCGGAGACGATCCAGTGTTATACGACGAATTAGTCACATGGATGGGCGACGACTGGCCGATATATAACAATAACGCGAACGAGTAAAGACGATTTATACATATCTGGTCGCGCATGGATTTTTTATTTAGGTTTTGGTAAATTATTTGGAGACAGAGTAGGCTAATATGACATCGCGGTCACTGGGCGTATTTTCATTTCGACGGTCTATACCTACTTCAGGAGGGCAAAGAATTTGATATCTTGAATTTTACAAACGCCCTAGTTCATAGCGTATTGATTAGAGTATTGGGAAACTCGCTTGTCGTGGCGTCAGGGACAGCTGTGTAAGGTCTCCACCAATTGTAATCAAGTTCCCGTATTTATTAAGCTCACGCCATGCCAGCGTCATGCTCCATGTCTTTCACATTACACGATGCACTCACTCTGGCCAACAGGACGACCAGGGTGTTAAGAGTACTCCTACACAAGGTCTCGTCATTAGTTCCTTCAGTAGATTTCGGGACCGTGCTTCACGCCTCCCTTCGAACACCAGACTCCATCGCTACACCCTCATCCACCATGTCACAGCTCAAGAAGCGTTCAGTGGCAGTCAGCTTCATCTTCCAACTCCCCAAAGACGACACCACAAACACTAGACCAAAAGTCGCTCTTTTCAAACGAAGCGACAAAGTCCGCACCTACCAGTTCGTCGCCATCATCTAGCCCTTTCCTTGACACTGCCCAAGAACAATCATCCCTCCCCCCTTGATCAATGGACTAACATGAAAACAGACACAAATACGCACCCGTATCCGGCTCCATTGAATCCTTCGATGCAGACCCTCTCGCAACAGCGTGGCGAGAAATCCAAGAAGAAACAACCCTCACTCCATGCTCACTCACACTCTTCCGCCGAGGAAAACCGTATTCCTTTGTCGACGAGTCCATCCAGCGCGAATGGACCATAAACCCCTTTGGGTTCATTCTCACCTCTGATCCTTCCAAGATTACGATTGATTGGGAACACGACGGTTACGCATGGTTTGATCCGGCGGACGTCGCCGACGGTCAAAAAGTCGACGGCGTCCCCAAGTTGCTAGAGAGCCTGCGAAGGGTATGGCTTGAATTCGACCTTGGCCCCGCAGCAACGGTCTTGGACGCCGGCCTGACGAGGTTGAAGGGCGATCATGAGAGTGGCGCGCGGCAGCTAGCGGGAACTGCATTGGGCACGTTCTCCGACGTTTTGAAGAAGTTGGACTTTTCCGACAAGGAGGTCTGGTGGGCCAACGCGCGACGGGCAGGCTGGCACTTGTGGAAAAACGGGAGGGAGAGCATGGGGGCGCCGATTCTAAGCGTCGTGCTGGCCGGCCTGGATGTGGTTCGCGAAAAGGCCAGCCGGGGACTGTCGGCAGACGTGGTCAGTGATATCGCCGCCTCCTTGGACGAGCTTGCCCGGCAGAGGGAAGCGTCGGCGTCCGGGGTCGCAAACACCTTCGCCGCGTTTCTGCAGCGGTACCCGGCCGACAGGCCCGTCCGCATTCTCACGCTGTCGTCCAGCTCGACGATAACGAGCTGCCTCACGCATGCGCTCGCCAGCGTTGGCCACGGACTCGACCTCCGCATCTTGGAATCCCGCCCGCTCTGTGAGGGGGCCAAGCTCGCTTACAAGCTTTCCTCCTTTGCTGCCGAGCACGACTTCTCATCGCGTGTCCATGTCACGGTCATGACGGATGCCGCGGCGGGTATAGCCTCTCAGGACGTGGATCTGCTCCTTCTCGGGGCGGACCTGATTGACAGACACGGCAATGTGAGCAACAAGACGGGGTCGTTGCCGGCTGTTCTCGCGGCGAGGCACATTTCGAGCCATGTAAAGGTTGTGGTTGTGAGTGAGAAGGAAAAGGTGCTGCCGTTTGAAGCGCCAGGACATGAGGACAATGATGCAGGCGAGGTGACTCGGGGTTGGGATAGTGTGGGAGTGGCGAGAGGGCAGGGGCCAGGGGGAGATGTGAAGGTGAGAAATGTGTATTTTGAGTGGGTTGATAATGGGCTGGTGGATGTATATGTTACGGACGAAGGGGTTTCGGGGACGGAGGATGTCATGAGATGGGCGGGGGATATTGAACGGAGGGCCAAGGACGTCTTTGATGGGTTGTGATGACGGTGGCTTTGCAGGAGCTGCGGTATGTGCGCGAGGACACCGCGGGTGTCTTGTCAAGATGTTCACTACAAGTTCTGACACGAGATTGGCAAAAGCTGGGCAACCAACAGGCGGTATCAAACGTAGTATGTTGTTGTTGGCTGTAGACATCCAGGTTGCCATGTTTGCCCAGACAAAAGACCCTACTATCAGGTGTGAGCATAAACCCTTGATAGGCAACAGCCATTATACGATAAGATACTACAGGTTGGTTTTTTCTTTATCCTTCCCAGATCCTGGTATAAGCACTTATGCCCCATCCTGCAACTGACTCTGCAAGCCCCGTTTGCCTACTCTCATCGCAACCTCCAACTCTCTCTCCTCATCTCTCAACCGCGCCTTGCTAGCCATGAGATCCCTCTCCCTCCGCTTCTTCTGCTCTTCCACGACTCGATTTCTCTCCTCCAGCGCCTTTTCACGCTTGCCTCGCGCCTCTCTCGCCTTCTTCTTCTCCTCCTCGTCTTCCTCGGCAGCAGCAACATCCTCGGGCGGCGGCGGCAGCGTCTGAAGATACGCTTCCACAAGAGGGTCGCGAATCTTGGGATCCAACGAAATATACCGCAGATCAATAAGTACGGGGGTAGGCAGACTCGTCGGCGACGACTTGTTATTTAACAAGTGGATGGGTTGAGCTTTCAGTAATGCGGTGAGATCAGACTTTAGCTTTGCTTGTGGCATCTTCAATCGATTGATATGTTCGCGGTATGCCTTTTCGCGATCTTTATCAGACAGTCTCATGTCCTTCATTGCTTCCTCCTTTTTGAATTTTCTCTTGAATTCGAGCCAGTACAATTTTGGCGTGGCCTTTTCTTGCAGGAAAGCCATGTATCCGATCTTGGGGTCCTTCTTCTCCTGCTTGGCTCGCTGTTCTTTGAGTTCGGCAATCTTCTCGCGCATCCACTCGTCCCAGCATTCTTTGCGCGCTCGTGTTGTAGTGAGGGCTGTGTATCGTGGGTCGTCCATAATTTTGCCTTCTTCGATAAGTTTATCCCATGGGCTGTAGGGGTTAATGTTGAAGTCGTTGAGCAGATCCTTAAAGAGAAGCTTGGCGTCTTCTTCCGAAAATTCAATTCCCTCTGTGCCCTCAGGCCAGCTTTCCATATTGCCGTCGTCGTAGTCGCCTGGTTCGAGACCGTATTCCTCTCCCATGGCTCGGAGTTGCGCGGCTATGTCTGCTTCAGTAAACTCGACAGGGCCGTCTTCTTCTTCTTCTTGTTCTTCTTCCTCCTCCCCCTCTTCTTCTACCACTTCTTCTTCAGCTTCGCCTTTATCTGTCCGTCGTCGTTTAGACGGGTGCTCAGTGTCAAGGGAATCACTGCCCTCATCATCAGTCACTTGTACTTCGATCTCTTCATATTCGTCGCTGTCGTAGTCATGCTGCTTTTCAGCCAGATCTTCTGTTTCATTCTCCGCATCTTTCCCATTTTTGGCATCCTCTGCTGCGCCAGTAGCTTTGCCCCGTATTCGTGCCTTATCTAACTCAAGGATACCCTCCATAAGCTTCTCTGGAATGCGCCAGTAACTCGCATTTTTCACTGGATTATAGGCAAACCGTCTGGAATACTTTGTGTACACAAGAAGCCACGGTTCACATCCTGGAATCTTCTCTGCCTTCCTGGGTTTATCAACGGGTTGCGGCTTCGGCCTGCCTTCGAACCCTCCCCTACCACCACCTCGACCGCTGTGAGCGCCTCGACCTCGGGGCTGGTTCTGGGGATTGAGTTGCGCAAGATATGCATTCGCCACTCGTGGATCGGCGAGCGATGGGAGATTCGCGTACGGCGAGTATGCGTCTTGCGCCGACACTGGAGAGGGTGGCGGCACGCCAGGTCGCTGGTAAGTTGATTCCTTTGTTGATGCGTTGTAGTAGTATTTGTGTCCTGTTGGCGCGGTATGTTCTGTCCATCCTGGCGGTAATGGGGCCGACGCTGCCGCAGCAGCAGCTGATGGCTTGTATGTCGATTTGAGCCCGCCAGCGCTCGCCATCGTTGCAGAGTTTTGGAAGAGAATTCGGTGAATACTTTAGATCAAAGCTTTGAATGCCAACGTCAACGCCAAACCAGCCGTAGAATCTGGGGCTCGAGCGATAGTGGAGCACCCGTCCGAGGGTACTAGGATAAGTTACCTAGGTACTTTAAAACGTCGACCTTGGAAGGTGCGTCTGAAGCGCAATTGCATTTGAGTACCACTCCGGAGGTAGGCAGATATATAACAATTGATGAGTTTTCGAAAATTAGCTTGCGGGCGTGAAATTTTGAGTTGGATCGCCCTGCCTGAACACAACAATGATACTTCCCGTTCTCCTCAACAGCTCTGTTACGACGTTGCGACTCGACAACGATTTCTCCAATGGAGGCTGATCATAGCAGGCCCGGGCCTCACGCCCCATTAATTCTTACCATTCCCTGGTTTGGTTGTTTTGACGTCGTGTGAGCAGCATCAACCTACTTGAACAGCGCCGTAGCCTCTTGCCTCGTAACAAAAAACAATGCCCATGGCCTCCACCAAGTATCTTTAACTTGGATCGGCCAATTCAATTCGGTTGTTTATCGCCATGGCTCCCCGCAGAGGCCTCGCATCCAGCGGACCCGTGGCGTTGGTCAGTCGAGCTTGGCAGGTAGGCTCTCCCTTCAACCCGCTCGAGACCAACAGTCTCAACTGCAGCCATGCAACTGCATTTCTGATGATTCTCTAGACTACGCACGCTCCGGAGTATGTTGGACTCGCAATATTGATAGCGGGATGGCTTGCTGTTGGACTTACTACCCTTACTACCCGACCTCCTTCCCATTGTACTCGTCACTAACTTTCCAAAGCTCGCATTGTTTGTCACGCCATTTCACCGAATGTTTTTCATCAATGACCTTCATATCGCGTATCCGCATGCTGTACGTGAGAGGGTATCTGTCCGTATGTCAACCATTTTCTTGAAACTTCACGCCCAATAAGCACCGCCAGCTAACTAAGCCCAGCCTGGCTGTTCATTTATGCATTCTTCATTCCCCTAGGCGTCCTCATCCTCTACAACCTCGTCGCTAGATCACCCATCGTAAAGCACGAAGTCAGCTACCTCTCCTTTTTCATATCCATAGTCCTCACATTATTTCTCACCGACATGGTCAAGAACGCCGTGGGTCGACCTCGTCCTGACCTCCTGGATCGATGCCACCCGTCCCCTGGAACAAAAGAGAATGTCCTAGTCACTATCGAGGTGTGCACCACCGAAGAATCGCACAAGTTACAGGATGGATGGCGATCGTTCCCATCTGGCCACTCATCTTTCTCCTTCGCAGGATTAGGTTTCTTGAGCCTGTTCCTTGCCGGACAATTACACATTTTCCATCCCCCAATTGGAGGGAGGGATCTAGGCAGAGCATTGATTTGCCTGTCACCCCTTGTTGCGGCGACACTGATTGCCATTTCGCGCTGTGAGGACTACAGACATGACGTATATGACGTCTGTGTTGGATCAGTGCTGGGGATGAGTGTAGCATATTGGAGTTATAGACGTCATTGGCCGAGGTTGTCGAGCGCTAGGTGCCATGAGCCGTATCCTCGACCGGGCGCGGATTTGCAGTCTGCAGCGTGGCAGAGGGTTCGTGATGAGGAGCAAGGTGGCCCTGCTATGGATGACGAATATGAGCTTCAACCGCAACGATCGTCTTGAGGCTGATTCCAGCATGTTGAAAGGAGCAACTTGCGTTGACATGTACGATATTCTAGGCAGCATGGATGAAAGTTTACACATAGGTTTGTACGAGAAAATATAGCATTGCATATAGAAGTCCCGATACGTTAGCATGTCAAGTCGTACATAATATGCGCCCTGTAGAAGAACTACGACTTGCGCTTGGGCTTCATATCGTCCAGTTCATTCATTGTATTATTACAAGGGCCGCCATAAGGCAGCCCGCTTCTAAATCAACCATCGTCTATCCTTTGCCTTAGACTGCCTATTTCTCCTCGGCATCTTCGCTCTTGGCCAAATCATGCTCCTTCAAGAGTGCCGTAATCTCATCCGCACTCCACAACCTGTGATAAATCTTGCCGTCTTCCGTCTGTCCTACTGTGGCAAACTCAACTACATGGCTGGTTAGTTAGAAAATCTATAAGAAAGTGTTTGGCGTCCGCACTCACTCTTCTCGCTGCTTAGCTTGGTAGAATCCATCGTCTTGCTCAACACCTTGACAGCCATGGCACACGCTTCCTTCAGTGTGCAATCCTCCTTGTAATCTTGCTTCAACAAACTCTGGGCACTGGCATTGTTGGCGCCGGCGCTGGTTGCCTTCCAGCCGCCGTAGTTGCCGGATGGGTTGCTGAGGTACAGCTGGAATTGCCTTCGAGGATCCCAACCAGCATAGATGAACGAAACACCAAAGGGTCGGAGACCGCCGTGCTGGGTGTATCCCTGTTTCAAATCGCAAAGGCGGCGAACGAGTTGCTCGCAAGGAATGTCTTCGTTGTAGGTGAGGAGATATCGCTGGGCGGCTTGGCGAGCATAGTTGATGAGAATGTTGGCGTCGGCGGTCATGCCAGCAACTGCGCAAATCATATTGCTGAGAGCTATTAGACCACGTAGCCGGGCAGGTACAATAATTCAATAAAGCTGCGACCTACTCGTTCAGAACATACAGCTTCTCCGCTGATGTGTCCTGTTCTAGCAACTTGGAAGTGACTTTTCGCTCTGCCGCGAGGACGATACCATCCTTGGCGAGAATGCCAATGGCAGTGCCGGCGTGTGAGATGGCCTCCAGAGCATACTCTACCTGGTAGAGACGACCTTCTGGTGAGAAGATGGTTGTCTATGGGCGTCGTGCGTTAGTTATTAAGCTTGAAGAAGTACTGGTATCCAAAGGGACGTTTCGACGTACTCGGGAATCATAACGGCGAGACATGGCTGCGGAGACGACCGGTTTGTCAGGTCAAGCGATAGAGAACGTCAGATGTGAGTTGCTCTCTTCTAATAATCTGAAGTTATTGTGTCTCGGTGGTTGGCGGAAGAGAGCAAGGCAATGAAGTGATGTCTGCAGGTGGGTTTGAGATGCTTCACCACAAGCGTCACTTGCTGCCGCGCGAGCTCCAGGCACAAGCTAGCCGCGTAGGTGAGCTCAATCCAGCCTCGCTGTGGGGAGTGACTGATACCTCAGGCCGCAGCCGCATGCATTGCGTCGCTGACTAACGTATGCTGACTCAGGCTATCTGATTCCGCCGATATTCTACCGACGCGGCCAAGTTACCTGCTGCTTGAAGGCCCAGGCTCCACTCGCCACCTCCATCTCTTTAACTGCGGAATAGCTTGCGGGTTTCCCTTCACCTCACAACACGCTTACTAATTGGGTCTCCCCAAGCCACTTCACAGTTGAAGGATATTCCATCATATCATCTTCAATGTTGGATAGAGAATGACCCTGATGTTGACTGATATGAGGTGCGGATGCCTACCCCCCCTCCCCCAAAAGATTTCTGCGGCTAGGGTTAATAGTTAATGTAGGGGTTAGGGTTAGCCTTTGGGATATGAACTAAAGTGGAGCTATTATCGGATGAGTAGTGCGACCTACTATCATTTTATGTACCGCCACTGTTGACTACCAAGCTGATATGAGAAGCCCAATGTAGCCCACATATTGGAAATAAGGATGCGGTGTTTGCCTTTTTTGCGCGTCCAAATAGCTTAACAAGTTGTACAAGAATGGTTTCTTGAACTTCCTTCACTTCACACAATTGAATTAAAAAGTTCAAAATACATATGCCTGAAGTGTGAGTACGCGTTCATTGGGTGTGGTCTGCACGTGATGTGAGCCCGCAATGGGAGCCCGGTTGGGTGGAGGACTAGCCAAGTCAAGCAGACGACGCCACCTGCCGGCGAAGGTCCTCGAATTTATCTCGACTACGCCTTCCGCCACAACGAACTGCTTGGGAATCTTGCCTTTTCCATCCACATCAACATACATCGGTATCAGCCAGGATCGGCTGAAGCCTCCATCAATCCGTGCGCGAGTTTTCACCATCTCATCCGTCTGACTGCTCATATTCCAGATATTCTGCTTCCTGCAACGGTTTGCGCAGGTGCAGCACGGTGTTCGTCCCTGACGCGGCGCGAGCTCTAATTGCCCACCGCCCAACGGCGATTTGCATCACCCACTGCCGTGCTCCTTTTTTTTTTTTCCCCCTCCTCATCCCACCATTTCCCAGCTTTTGGTCGCGACAAGCTCCTAGGTACACAACAAGACTAAGTCGCCTCACGTTAGGGATCGCATAAAAGTCGGAAAATAAACGTCGCGCATAATACTGTGTGCCCTTTTGGGAGTATTCTTTCGGAGATAGGAGGATTGCTTGCGGTGGTTGGATTTGTTCTCGGCAAATTTTGCCTTGTTATAGTCGTGACTCTAGCCCTGTCAGCGTCGTAAATTTCAAATGCCTGTTTGAGAGAATTAGACAGCTTTTGAACACTCCTCGCCTGCAAAAGTAGATCGCGAAATCACCAGAAACAGCAACCGAACACCAAGACCCTTATCACGCGCGTCGCTCCCACTTGCGGCCACAAGATACCACTCCCTGCCACATAAGACGCGATGTCTGGTAAGCTCAACCAACTTCACTCTACTAGGTCCAAAGCACACGCATGAAGGGCTTGCGCATAGGTGCAACTCAGAGGACGGAATGCGACGAGCATCAGACAAAAGAACTAACACCATGTCCATAGGAGAGGCAGAGCCTAGGCGCTCTGTCAGAGCGACCAAAGGCCAACACACGAAATCATTTGACGAGCTCGAACCTGCAGTGGCGCCGAAACGACGACAGACCAAGAAGACCAAGAAGGCGCAAGAGAAGGATCAATCCCAGGAACCCGAGGAGGTTATTCGATGTGTTTGTGGGGCAACCGAACAAGACGAAGATTCAGGGGAGGCCTGGATCTCCTGCGAGACCTGCTATGCCTGGCAGCACAATGTCTGTGTCGGGGTAAGCTCTTTTGAGGACGAAATTCCCGACAACTATTGGTGCGAACAGTGTCGACCTGAAGACCATAAAGAGCTCCTGGCGGGCATAGCCAGGGGAGAAAAGCCATGGGAGGCTCGACGCAAGGCACACGAAGAAGAAGAGGCTGAAAGAAAGAAGAAGAAAGGAGGGCGCAGAGGCAAGGGCAAACGAGGCAGCGATTCCAAGGATGAGCTCGAAAAGGATGGCAAAGCCAAGGCAAAGGCCTCGCCTGCACCTGAGCCTGCATCAAAGGATAAAAGGGAGCCTGCTTCAAAGCAGGGCAAGCGAAAAGTTCGAGAGGAGTCTCAGGACACAGACGGCAAGGTAAGATATACTTTACATCCACTTGCATGTGGCGCTCAATGAATGCAAACTAATGTCTAATAGGCAGCTAAACAGCGTCGAGTATCAGAGCGCGATGTAGTCCCTGGGGCCGCCAAATACACCAAACCCGATGATCTGGCTTTGGCGATATCTGAATTGGCTGCATCACGTTCAGGCCCTGCCAAAGCTCTGAAGAAATCCATTGCTCATGTTCTGGCTACCCTTGCAAAGGATGGGGAACTCAAGGTTCCCGACGGCAAGACAGAAGACAGCATGTCTGAAGAATATGCCTTGCAAATTGAGCGGGCTGTCTACGATACGCACCCAGCATCGAAGGGCCAGAAAGAGTATAACCATCAGATCAAGTCTCTGACCTTCAACCTCAAAAATAACCCGGAAGTGATGCGAGGTCTGTTGCATGGCGTGCACTCACCCACAACCCTTGCTGTCATGACATCAGAACAGCTCGCGTCGGCCGAACTACAAAAGCAAACTGCTGAGATGCGGGCGAAGGCGGAGAAGCAATCCATCTTATACACACAAGAGACCGGCCCGCGTGTGCGAAGAACTCGTAAGGGAGAGGAGGTAGTTGAGGACGAAACCGCCCTTGACGAAGCGCCTTTGCCCATGGCTGGCGGTCCTCGGAAAGGCGGCAGCCAGCATCCACCGCTTGTCAAACGGGAGTCGACTGGGGGAGACCATGGCGAATCGAAAGCGAGATCGCCATCTCAGTCTGAAGCACAACACTCACCTTCTCAATCTAATTTTGACATTAATAAGGTGTTTTCAACCGTCAAATCGCCGACACTATCCCATAACCGTCGGCCGTCTGCGCCAGTTCTCAACACCAACGGCCCCGGATTTGATCCCGATGTTGATCGGATGCTGCAAGATGAGACGGAATCCCCGCCTTATTCTCCAACTGAAGAATCCCAAGACCCTGATGTTATATGGAAGGGGTCACTTGCCATGAGCTCCATTGCAGACTTTCAAGCCACGGCTAAGCACGTCGGAGGCGCTAATTTCGCCTCTTTTGGCCCCTGGTCAAAACTCATTCCCAAGCGAATGACGGTTGCCGGACGCATCCCACAACAGAGCGCCATTGAGTATCTGTGCAGTCTTCGATACAGTAATCTCACCGACATTGTTGTTGTCAGCATCACCCCGACGTCGGCGGAATCCCAGCCAGATTTCAGAGCGTTGGTCGACTACTTCATTAGCAAAGGTCGATACGGAGTCGTTGGAAACAAGGTAGCAGGAAATGTCAGGGATACGTACCTTGTGCCTGTGCCTGCCGGCGACGACGGTCACCCCGAGTTTATGCTCAACCTGGTCGATAATTATATCCCCAAGACAAGAACGGAGCCCATGCTTCTGGCCGTATTTGTGTATCGCAATGAACCAGATCAGCTGAAGCAAACCAAAGACGAGCTCACCCCCGTCGCTACGCCGCAGCCTCCCAGCGTCACTGCGTCTCCTACACCTGCACCTGGTGGGCAAAGAAGCAACTCAACGTCTGGGCCAGCTTTCTCACCATCGACGCCGCAGGGCTCATTTGGCCAGCAACACCACGGAGGGCCGCCTCAATCGACTACACCAGTCCCTATACCACAGCCGCCGCATATGCAACGACCACCTCCGCAGACTGCAGTTCCTCCACCCAGTCACTCCCCCCCGGCGGGTGGTCAACTGACGGAGGCGCAAAAGTACCAAGCTCAACAGGCAGGACAAGCGGTTGCAGCGCAGGTGTTGGGTGACTTGATTGGTGTACCCACCGTGCAATTCTTATTGCCTCAAGCATTCCAGATGTCTCGACGCGAGTGGGAAGTGATAAGGTCAATCTATGAAAAGGACCCACGAGCACGACAGGATCTCCAGTACCTAGGCGCTCTTCTGGAGAAGGAAGGCTCCGAGAAACGAGCACAAGGGAATGTAGTAGGGGGGTCGCAATAGGCCATGAGCAAGTTATTGCACAGGAAATTTAAGTTTACCAGGTCTGATGGGCCTACACATCTATAATTATGGTTTTTCGAGTGAATAGGATAAGGAGTGTATTTTCACCCTTCTATACACCATGTACATATTGTGAGGGGTTTTCTGCGATATTGTTATCTCATGGGAACAGCGGGATGGGTGTCAGGGTATCACGGGAGGTGTTAAGGAGTATGGCGGAGGGAAAAAAAATTTTTGGAACACATCAGCAGCCGGCAAGATATTGTAGGGCCCGATATAAAATGACTAAAATTATAATGCTGCGCTGATTATTGTATCAAGTTGTGATTTTCGTTACGATGAGCCATCGTCACATTTACAATGCTGCTTCATTCACTGGCTGCCGGAGGGTGGACAAGAAAATCGGAACCCGTGCAATGTGAGGAATGTACTTTGATCCCTAAAAGTGTATATATGTCATTGCAGATCTATCAAAGTATGGGAAAGGTACAGCGACTCATCTCAACCCAACGTGACAGTCGCCCAAGTACCTCCCATCGCAGGCCCCCTTTGTTCCCTTTGTTCCCTTTGTTCAGCAGAACAAGTAGGGAACTTGCCCTCCTGCAGCAATGCAAAATCACACCTCCAATGTCAGCGGCTGACGGATGCCCGAAACAGCCAGGGACGCAGGTATTCAGGAACTGCGCAATATCTGCAGCGCCGCCCCGAGAAACGCTGTGAACCCTTGAGCAATCGTACGTTGCTTCAACTCTGTCATGTATAAGTTCTGCCGCCCACCCGCGGGTGACGAAGTATGAAGAGGGGTCGACATGGTTTGAAAGGGAACTGTGTTGCTCTTAAGAATACACCTCCCGGGCCGTCAATACAAAAAAAAGATGCCGCGGCATCATAGATACCCCAAAACGCCATGCTGATGCTAAACCAGAATTACACACAAAAAGGGCAAATCCTCACAATGCAAACTCGGCATCCGCAGCAGCCCACAACTCCATCTCCCTCCTAATCCTCATCTTCTCCGTCTCGTCCCCCGCCTCGCCGGCGCCCTCTTCCCCAGAAATCTCCAGGTCTCCCTGTCCAAGTTTCCCCAGGCCCTCCAGGACGTTCTTTGCCTTGTCGACCTGCATTCTTATCGCGTCGGTCTCGCTGCGCGTCTTGTCCAAGTGGTCCTGCATCATGGCGATGGCCGACTCTCGCGCCTGATGGGGCCTGTACTCGTTGAGGATATGGTGGATATTGATAAACAGCGTCCGCAAATCCTGAATCTTGCCTTCTGCGTGGGCGGGGTTTCGCGACAGCGTGCCAGCGAGCTCGAGGAAGTTGAGGAGCAGAGACTTGACGAGCTTCTTGAGTTCGAATGCGCGGTCGTAGTGCTTTGCGTCCTTGGAGTCGGATAGGCCTGTGGTGGGCAGGTTGGTGATGCCTTGTTCTTCGAGGGTGGGCAGTTTGTCGTCCAGCTGCATTGAGAACCAGTTAGTGGTATGGGACTCCTTTTTTGCCTTCCTTCCCTTTCTTTAGACGAGCTAGCCGGCAGCAGGAGAAGTATAAGAGGGTGGCATCTACCATACCATATACTGGTCGCCAAAGACTCGCCACCGTCCATCAGATGGCTCTGGGGGTGGTTGTAGGTTCGTCAATTCTTCTGGCAGACCGGGGATGCGGACAACGGGCGAGGAGGCATGGTCGCTGGCGCCTCCGGCAAATGCGCTGCGCAGCTCGTCGATGCGCGCCACTCTGTCCGGCGTGAAATCTTTCCAGAAGGGAGGGGGGTTAGGAAACGTGGACGCGAGCGAGTGCGGTTCCTGTTCGGCCATTGCTGAGTGTGTCTTGCGAGGTGGAATGTCTCGCCATGGTCAAATTGGAGTTGAGGTGCTTTAATGTTGCATGTTGCGCCGGGTAAAGGCCGGGGCAAACAACCAGACCAGACATTCATTAATCAAATGCTGGCTGCTATTAGTTAGTTAGTTGACGTTTCGACCGCTAAAGAGCCAAAGCTTGACGTCTCCAGTTATCGACTGGCAGCTGACGGGCGCCAACGCTCGGGTGCTGGCTGTTCCAGGCGCAACATTTGAAGCAGCTGGCGGGATCCTGAGGTGCCTCAAGCCAGACTCATCAATCATCATCATCGTCTGACAACCCTTCACCATCACTTCACGTCTCAAACCGCTGGCTGCGCCTTCCCACTGCAATTCCTCGCATGCACATTGCCCGCAATGGCCAATTGAACGCGGCGCCCAGCTGCCAAAAGACTCTGCATCACCACATTGCTGCATTGCCGCAGCTCCCCCTACCCACATGCAGCTTCCATTCCTAACCTTCTCCATCGTCAAACACATCATACGACACATCTCACTGCCGCCATGGCTGACGTGAGGTCTCTCCTGCGCCAGCAAAAGGCCTCGCGGAGGATAGATCACCCCTATGCTGCCTACTCGGCCGCCGGAAAGCTGTTATGTACCCTCTGCAGAGAACAGGTCAAGGCCGAATCATTATGGGACGGCCATCTGCTCAGCCAAGGCCACAAGCACAGGGTACAACAGAAAAAGGTCACCCAGACAGCCTCAACAAGTCCAATACCGGAGCCAGCCCCGGATGATTCCGTCGCTGTTCACAAGCGGAAACTTGAGCCCGTCGACGAGCAGGACAGGGAAATGGAGGACGCCGTCCCTGCCAAGCGTAGCAAGCCTGGTATTGCGCCTCTCACAGGCATAGCTTTCAACGGCACTCCTGCTGCTGCTGCTGCCGCCGCCGCTCAGGATCACGCGGCCAAGACCGGACGCACCAATACGCCAGACCAAGTGCACAGCGCCGGTAGCAGCAACAGCAAAGAAAGCACAAAAACGCCGCCCAGCCTGATCCGCAGACTATCAACCACGCCCTCGCAGGGCGTTGAACTCCAGATACCGTCGCGGCCGGCGACACCCGCTCATAGAGAAGGTGGCTCGGCGTCTTCGGCTTCCGCATCAGGGGGATACTTTGCCCTTCAGTCTCAGACGGGTCCCATGACGCCGTTGCATCGCAATGCCTCGGCCGCCAGCGTCACAGGTCCAGCATCTGCTGCGGCATCAGCAGCAGCCTCCACGGCAGACAAGACAAGCTCAACGGCTCAGCAGGTCGATGAATCGGAATGGGCCGCATTCGAAGCTGACATCGCCGCCGCAGAGGCACCCTACGACGAAGGCGCCGTCATCTCGGCACCAGCCATGACAACGGAGGAAGTGGCCGCCAAAGATGCCGCAGACGCAGATCGCAAAGCCCAAGCAGACGCGGACATTGAGGACGAGAAGGAAGAGGCCACCCGCGCGCTGGAAGATGAGTTCGCCGAGATGAAGGAACTCGAAGCCCGAGTCAAGAGTCTCAAAGAGAAAAGGAACGAGATCCTGCAAAGGAGAAGAGAGAGCCAAAGTCTAGAAACCGCCCCTGTCGAGGGGGCGTCATTGGTTGCAGCGGCAGTAAAACAAAACGGTGTTGAGGAAAGAGTTGCTGAGGATGAAGAGGATGACGACGACGATGATGATGAAGAGGAGGATGACTGGGATGGGTTCCGGTTCCGCACATGAGGCGCATGCAGGTTTGTATTCTGGTTCATGACTTGGCTCGCATAACGAGGACCGGTTGGCCATGTACATTAGGGGTCTCTGCATATTACATATTTGTACAATTGGACAGGAGTCTGGTTTGGAATCGGCATCGGCTGAGCGAGTGACGCGTTCTACCGAAAAACTAGGCAGTCGAGATCAATGGCTTGTTTCTGGCAGAAGTATCGTCTCCCGACTCAGATTCTTTGTGATACCCCATGAATTGATAATTTATTGATTCAACTGCCCGATGTTCATACAACGGACATTGGCCAAGGATACCAGAACATGTCCTAGATACACATCCTCCCAACGATACTAAGCCCGTATCAAGACTGAGTTATGCGTCTGTGTAATGGAAACAACAGTTAGAGGAGCCTCTGAATATTTTTTCGATAAATTTACCAATCCATGTTTCAGCTACCATGATAAACATACTATTTAGCTTTACAGCAAACAAAGTGCAAGATCCCGCTTGCTATGTGCATAAAATAAAATCTCAGGTTTCGTACAGTCATTATACAAAAGCACTCATATCCTTGGCCAAAAACGCCAAGCACTTGCAACATGTCCTCAACAGTCCGAAAAAGAAGATCCCGGTTAGCCCGAGCCACAAAGTTCTCAACAAAGTGGACATTGATCTCCCCGGCTTACACGTTCCCAAAATTTGGTCAATTTCCAAACACGGCCAACGCCTCTACTCTCATGCCATCGTCTCAGCTCCTCCTCTCGCTCTCTTACTTCGCCCTTCCATTTTGCTGCAATCCAACGTCTGAGTCCGTCCTTGACTTTCTCCTTTTCTACCGCTTTCCTCTTCGCCACCAATGCTGGCGCGATAAGAACTGACGACATACCAGGTACGCACTCCTTTGGGAGCACACATCGCTGAACAAGAGCCTCGGCAGACGGACGAGCTGCGAGTCTTCTGGACAGGCGAATAGAGACGAGTGACCAGGCCAAACGGCGAGATACAACCGAGGTATGCGTCAGAAAGATGGAACGAGAAATGAGATCCGCAACCGTGGGTCGAGTGGGAGATGAAAGTAACGGAGGTAAGACTTGGCGAGTGCGTCGAAGCCGGTAGTGATGAAGAATAGGAGCCAAGGACAAACTTCGAAGGAGATGACTAGTCTGTAATTACACGTTAGCTTAGTACGAGGAAAGTCGACAGCGGAAATAGGAATACAGTCGCTTCTAGATACAATGCTAAACTAGAGTCTGTCCGGCACTGTTAAATTAAAAGTTGTGCAAGAACAGCAACAACACGGATATACATCACGAAGCACCGTTTTTTTACATGTGGAGGCAACAATCAACTTACCCTAGATGTTGCCAGTAAATCACTAACATCCAAGAACCCCAGGATATGAAGCAGCACTTCGTTAGGAAGGTGCTCGAGAGGAGCCGAGCTCCGCAACAACGTAGTTTCCATGCTGGATCGATCAGGGGAATTGCGTCCACAATCATCAGTCTGGTCCTCATTGTTGACATGGCCATCACTTTTGTTGGTACGGTCAACAGGGCATGCGACACAGCCATTCTCCGTCTCGGCTTCTGCCCTCGAACACGAATCAACAGCAGTAGGCCGATGAGGTTGGGCATCAGTAGCGGCTAGCATTGACTGGCTTGCCACCTCATCACTAGAAGCACAAGGTGGAGTGCCTGGTGCATCTTCTAGCCAGACACCCTCAGGTGATGGCGAGGCTGGAGAACGCGGTAACGAGGCTAGGTAAAACCGCATGTCATGGATGAGCTGGCCGTCGTCAACAGCGGGGTTCAGTGGATGCATGCTGCCAGGAAGAGGAACCGAAAGGCGGACTGTGCGTGCAAGAGGTCGAAGGACCGGATGATGGATGAAAGTACTCGGTGTTCTCTTCCCTTAGAGGACGACCCTGACGTCAGGTACGCAAGCTCTCCAGGTATCTTGATAGAACCAACGGCAGGACGGATTGCTTCGATCCCAACCATGGGACGTGGCGACAGCTGGCCCACGGCTACGTCAAAACTGGTGGGTGTTTGGTGTCCCAAGGTATTGTCAGGGGTGGGGGATCTGCCCGAAGACGCGGGTCGCAAATCTGGTCTTGCTTCAATTGCTTCAGTCAACTAGCCAAAACGCGCGTGGGTAGAGGACAGAGGAGTACCAGGATAACCCAGGACGAAGAGGCGGCGAGGCCGAAACGGGGGGAAATTGACAAGACTCTTGGACGCCCAAGGCCTCGTGAAGGGGTCCTTGAGCAGGTCGGGGGCCGAGGGATCCAAGGGAAAACCAGGATGTTTTCTATCGTCACGGACTAGTCCGTACTCTGTGTGATACGACGAGGTAGGAACGAGACCATATGGTGGTGACCAGGAAGTTGTTCATTCCCATGTCATCACATAGCTTTGTCTGGCAGCTGGCGCCGGGTCTGTCCAGGTTCCCCGGCTCGCTGGCTGTGAATCGGTCGGTCGACCACGTCAGGCAAGCGTCGATGCAGCCAAGGAGGCAGATGAGGCTAGCTCTCACTGCGGAAACAAACTAATCCGGCCGTGATGGATGTTGACGATCTATGGCGGCGCTTCAAGACGCAACACTCTTGGTTGAAATGCGGGCCGGCGCCAATTGTGATGGAGTAGAGAGTAGTTGCAGTTGCAGTTGCAGTTGCGGTTGCGGTTGCAGGTTGGGTCTGGGGTTAAGGTCGAGGTCGACTGGTCGCGATAGTTGGCCAAGTCATGAAACAGAAGGCGTGATGGGCTGGCTCTTGCCCCTCTTGACGTTCAAGCGCTAGTACGGCGTTCCCGGTGGTCCTCGGCGTTCAGTGGTCAGTACGGACTACTCTTCGCCTCGTCGACTAGGCTGGGAATTATGAGCTTCAGAGGCTATAAGCTGTTTCGCCTGGGAAATTATCGCAAGGACTCCAGCCAAGCGTTCCTGTCCCTCGATCGAGGTGAGGTGGCCGAGGTGCGCGCCGCGATATTGTTGTTGTGGTGATTGAGGCTGATGCTAAGGCTGGGGCTTGGGCTGAGGCGCAGGCGGAGTGAGTGCCCGCCAATGCCATTAACCTATGACATATCATCACAACACCTTGCAAGCACAACTGAGCTTCTTCAACAGGTACCATACCAAATAGACCGGAGCTTCGCCTGTCGCCATAATGGCCACTACAACCGCTACCCACGTATGCCTTCATGGTGGCTGCCTTGATAAAGCGTGATGGTCACATCAATATCATCACCATCAGCCCCACAGCCAGTGTCCATCAAAACCCATTGTTCCCTCGGCCCCTGCAAAAATTAAAAACAATAATAAACCAAGAGGAGGGCGAGAAAATGAAAGGGATATTTCCACCCATTTGAGGCTTGAAGCAGAATATTGCGTCTTGATGACGTTCTCATCGCGTCAACACATCCTCGATACAACGTTCGCGAGGTCATCTTACCGCTAGCCTACCCTGGAGCAACATTTGGCTTTTGGATACTATATGTCAAGCTCCGTCCGTGTTGTTTTGAATTTCTAGAGCTTTTGTGAACTGCATCAATCCTACGCAGTCTATTATCCTGCATCTTGAGGCTCTGGCTAGCTTTGGCATTCCCTAGACGGCTACAAGCCTTCTGGGCTTCTCCGTAGTTGTGCTCCCCTCTGCCATTTGTTGGTCCAGACGACCTTCACCTTCCAGCTAGACTCAAAGGGTATCATGCTTGATTAACTTCCCCTTCTTATTGTTGTTGTTGTCATCACAACCCCCAGCGTCATATCTCGCCTGATACCAGATACAATGCGCCTTAAACCTGACAAATATGCAGCAACTACTGCGGCCAATCCAGTGACCGCCGTTTCACGACAAACTCCCCGCATACGTGCCTGAAGTTGAGCCGGAAAGATGCGTTGAGGCTCAGCCCAAGCTCAGTCCCTTTATGCGGCCAAAATTGCACATCGTAAGGGCTGTGACCAGCTGTTAAGGACTTGACGTGATTGCATCCTACTTTCTGGGTATGTTCCATCCGCGACTTGAGCGACCAATAAGTCAACCGACTTTCCAAGTTGGCAATCATGACTCAATATGGGACACAATACACACCTGATATGCCACATGTGGCGTCTCTGTTTCATTCTGTACCCGTAGGTCATCTCCCCGGCGTCATATGCACGGCACCGGGATTCACAGCCTGTACCAATACGGAGCATATCTTACCCCGTGGCCATCGGCGTGGACATCGGCGTGGGCAGGCAGGGCCATTCTTGCAGGCAGAGGACGCCACTCATCCTCTTCTTCTCCTCAGCTAAGCTAAATTTATGCTCCACAACTTATGAGGGTTAGACACAGCACCTTTTCCGGCGATGCATCACTGTTGCAGCCTGTGGGAAGTTGGCGCCTCTGCTCCATACCTGTAACATACATAGAAAAGTCATGCCTTGTGTCTAGACATGTCTAGCCTTGTTCCTCATCTGCAGGTTTTCCTCGATGCGCCTGCCGAGAAATATTGTTGAATGACTGTATGCCTGCCACGTCTGCCTAAACCACCCAAAGATGCCCGGACGCATACATACGTACTGACATACAGAGACAAGGCTAATAAGCCTGAGCAATAGCCAGACCAGTGGCCATCGCCGTGGTTCTTGGTACAAGGATGTTGGAAACTTCCCACAACAGGCTGCATTTGGAAATTAAAGTACCGTGCTGCTTTTGGTTCTGCTTCTTATTCAATAGTCCCTAGCACACGCCTTACTTCCCCGCCTTTTCATCTTGTGATGCCGTCAATTAGTGGTGCTACCTGCTGGACACAATGTCTAGGATCAACGTTGCACGAGGCAGGACATCTGATCGCTGTATGTGTGCTTGCCTGTCATAATGTCGTTGTTTCCGAAGGTGACCGACCGGCTCGCCGAATTGGTCGCCAAGGTGCCGTGGGAATAGCAATGCGTACATAGTAGTATTGTTACTTTCGTTCCGGCTCGAAAAATGGGGCTGTAGAAGCCACTAATTGTGAAGACAGCATCTGCATCGTAAAATCCGGTAAACCCCCTAGTAGCGAGACTTGTTTACTGTATTCTAAGTATTGCTGGTGACGGGGCCAGCAATCTCAGACACGAGTATAGCCAGGACCAAGTTGATTTGAATTAGAAAACTGAGTGGCGAGAGTCGAACGCGGTTGAATGTGCTTGGACTTTGTAGACGGATAACATGAACAATCGCCAGTCATTGATTCCGAGCATTTTGTTGTATTGCGCAGAGGAGTCTTCGAAAAAAAGCCAGATGACATCGGGGGCCGTTCTATGGGACTTGACATCCGTAATCAATACTCTGATTGGAGTAAATCCAAATCTCCGGCATGTCTCACTGGCCACTGCGTGTATCCCGACTGCAGGTCAACTGCAAGATATGTTATCCAATGGCGGCATTTGAGTCTCGTATGTAAAGCTTCCGATTGGCCGCTGCAGGCTGAGCGAGTGTTTTTTGCCTCGAGTTGTTGGATGAACGGGCAGGCATATGTGTGTCGTGGTCAATGGTTGCTGCCTTGGTACACTGCGTCTCGTGTTTTGATACTCCGTCCTTCCTGTCCAAAGGCCCTTAACTTCTGGCGAATCTTTAAGCCTCAAGATCTCATGCATAGATCCACAGTGATTGATGCCGTTGTCAGCCCAAGGTGTGGTAGTTGGTAGGCAGGCAAGGTTGGTAGGGAGGGTGTGCAGGAGGTGAGGTGTGGGAATGTACTCGGTATGAAGGGCCAACGGCGTTTGGCGAGCCTGGGGCAGGCTGAGGCGGGTATGCAACCAGCCACGACCCGATGAGCGATGTGGCGTCTTTTGGTCCGGGGTCAAGGGTCGACGGCTTCTGGAGTTGAGATGGCGTTGGCGTTGGCGTTGGCGTGGGCGTTGGCGCTGGCGTTTGACGTCGCACCTCGGTGGTGTGGGTGGTTTCAATCGTTGCGGACATGGGCTTCATTACAACTAGTTCAGTCGCTTAATTAAGTCTTGTGCAACCCCAAAATACGCCAACTGCATTCCGCAATTCGATCCGGAGTACTTACTGAGCACCACACGCCTGTTCGCTTTCGAGCCATGGCCGTGATACATCGGCAGAGCTTCACATTGTTGTCTGATGTCGCGCCTGGCCTGGCAAACATCAACACCGCTCGAGACGAGACTAAGACGACAACTAATTTAGCCAGGGCCCGTTGATCCTTACCTAGAATCTCGATCAAACGGGACGGGCCGGCGGGACCAGCTTTTGTAGTTACATGAAACGGCCCTTGCGAGAACCACTTAGTCTCGAACAGCAATCGCCCAGCCAGAACGCCCAAGCCAGCCAGTTCAGCCCAGACGTTCACCCTCTCCACCACCGTCCTGGTGTCGCGGAGACGTCCTTGTTGGCCGCCGTTGCAGCCTCAGAGACTTGCATTCGTCACTTGATTGTGTATCATGTGTCGCTGTTTGCCGGTTGACGCCATCTATCTGGTGCGGCTCTAGTCAAGCACTCACCAGCTCGCAGCCTGCCTGGACCAGGTGTTGTTTCGTGCTGGGCCACCGTGGGCAGCAAGACGCCAAGATCACAGCCGGGCTACGCCGGTAGTATGACTGCACCACCACACCGTACGAATCAAGTAGCCCCCAGCTCTATGATTGCTCGTGATCGTCCTGAGGCTTCTTCTTCCTGGCACTTTTGCCGCTGCTGCGGTGCGTGTCATGGCACTTGTGCTGACATGGAATTGGGCCTGATTTCAACGAGCGGCAGACCCGGGTCTGTGTGATGAAATGCAAAAGACAGAGTGCCGCAGATCAAGAAGCCTAATATCGACCGAATTAGGAGCGCT